GTATAATAAGTAGAAACAGTAAGTAATGGTCAGACACGTTCACCAAGTAGTATTCAATAACGCGTGGACTTTCTGTCGATTATGTCTCTCATAAGAAGAATTTAATTTCTTTAAAAAAATCTCCTATACATTATGGTTTTAAATAAAATTAAATTAACATATTTGAAGCACAGTCTATATCAACAGAATTGAATTCAAATACGATCTGAGAAATTATTCTAACGAGAAAAAAGAGATTCAAGTATATTTACATTTATTTCATAACTCTCAAAGATGTAAATTAAGATTATTGACCAGCCTCACACACACACACGACACGTGCACCAACCCTTATAAAGCGTAATTTTTCAAGGGAAAACAAGTCTGTTGACAACCGTGCCCACTTCACAGTACATCAATCATACAGTTATTCTACTTCTGCTGTCAACACAACAACAGCACAAGTGGAAAGCCAGTTATGGTATATGTATGGTATACGTAGAAGCATAAGCGCCACCAGATATTTATGCATTTAATAAATCTGTATGCTTTCCTAGTACAATTTGTCTCTGTTATGTACTCAAAATTAAAGATGAAGAAACAAAACAAGGATAAAAGGAACAGTATACAAATAATGGAAATAATTACACATACATAACGTCATAAAAATAAACTACTATAAAAATATAAAAAATTATGCTATTAGTGCTTTAATATAATGTTCAAAAGTATAAAAATTTTAATATTAATTAAATTATACTGAACATATAAAACAAGTTGAGTACAAACTTTAATCGTGCACAAGTTTCAACTGTGAAAGAAGATCTTCATTATTTTTCTTTAAGATGAGAGTGGAAATATTTTTCCTCATTAATTTAAGTCAAGTGTGATAAAGTCGATTTCTAATTGCACAGATAGAGATTCACGAGAACTTTCGAAAAAGGCGCACTTCTTCAAAGAATTTGATTTCACTTTTAGAAGAATTCCGAACAGAGCTTTCATAATTGTCGAGTATCGGAATTCTAGTGGTACCATTAAGTACGCTTCGTAGAGTGTCGTTCACACCTGAACATCAAAGGTAGGATTCACACACCAAGGGTAGTATATTGTCACGCGGTTCGATGTATCGATCACAGTGTAGACTGATTTGGTACACGCTGAAACACTTGCGTAGAATCATATGGTATCTCGATGGTTCAATGATTCTGTCGTTGATACGCAACAGGTGTATGGAGAAAAATTTTACCAGATGCGAGAGGACAGTCTCGAATCGGCGTAAACTTTAATTCTGTACGAACGAACTTAAAATGGCTTCGCAAGAAACTGCTAACAACGCGTCCGAGTCTCCTGCGGATCGCAAAGAGAATATGGTAAGCTACAAGTTTCGCTTTTAAATTAGACACATTCGATCGTCATCAATAATCTTTTGTGATTAAAAGTCATTGGATTTGAAGATCAGTGTAGATCGCTTTATGGATGAGGTCAACGTCGCCTAAGCAATGATTTCATATGCATTTTTACGATACAGGAAAGTGGAACGAGGAACATGCAACTGTGTGTATAAGACTCACGAAATTCTGCATCAAACAGGAATGAAATTTTGAGAATTTTTAAGAAATTGTGTATTGCATTTTTGTTACAGGTAGAAAATCTACAAAGAAGTTTGTTATGTGATATGTTGTGATAATTTAGTTTCTATTCCTGCACTTTAAAAGTCTGCATTTCCATCAGTTTTTTAATAGTTGCAACGATCAACAATTATTAAGAAAATATTCATTTTATCAGAAGGTTATTTTATTTAAAACACTGTTTTTGTTCGATTGAATTTATTCAAGCTTCACTTTTTGCTAAACTAGTCTAGAAATTGAACTTCCCATCATCACCTTAAGTAATCTAAGTGATAAAATGTCGATGTAGTCATATCGAGGCAGTATAAACTATAATTTATAAATATCAATCTCTAAAAGTATATAAAAAGGAATCATTGCAGTTCTTGGACGATTGTGCCCCTTGTAGGAAAAATTTATGTCACCAGTTGCTTGCATCCGTGTCACGAGCCCACACGGATTTATGATAGGCAAATTACTACTGAGGCGTGTAATGAACTCTGAACTCTCTAAATTACAGTTTGAAAGTTCGCTGACAACGAGTAGAAATAATGAACGAAGCTATGAAACTCATGCTGAGATCTTGATTTTAAAAACAACACGAAAACAATGTTCTTAATCTAAACATAGCATAAATTGGTATTCCTCTAACAATCCTTAACATACCGACGATCGACTTAGCAACTACAAAAAATAGATAGAATCAAACTGAGAAGACAACATCTTTTATATTAACTACTCTTTCAATCTTCTTGCATTGTACAGATAATAAAAATAATTAATTTTTCAATCTATACAAATAATTCTGTCGTCCAAATATGGGTAATACTGTCAGCATGTCAATCATGATAAATATTGCATTGTAATACTAGATTCCATATAGAAATTGGACAAAAAGATTAGTTTATTACAGTCTCGTAAAAAAACTTTCTGCAAAAATTTTCTAAGCTCCAGATGAAAGAAACAATAATGGTGAAAAAAATATTAATTTCTGTTGTTCATAATACAATCGTAAAAGGTAATTATATAAATTTACTTAATATTTTTCCCATCACTATTTCTGCTTTTATCTGGAGTTTAGAATATTCTTAAATTCGCAGTGTAATTATTCTCTTATTGGACTGTAATAAACAAAACTATTTGTTTGGTCTCTACATGGAATCTAGTATCACAATGCAATTTTTATCACAATTAGTGTATTATTTCTATCACAATTTCTTTTGAATAAAGTNAGGTAATTACAAAAATTTACTTAATATTTTTCCCATCACTATTTCTGCTTTTATCTGGAGTTTAGAATATTCTTAAATTCGCAGTGTAATTATTCTCTTATTGGACTGTAATAAACAAAACTATTTGTTTGGTCTCTACATGGAATCTAGTATCACAATGCAATTTTTATCACAATTAGTGTATTATTTCTATCACAATTTCTTTTGAATAAAGTGTCATTAAATTCTGCTGTTCATGTCGCAATTGTAAAAGAGAATTATAAAAGTGTACTTAATAACGTAAATTCGCCGAAAAATAAATTACCGTAGAAATGTTAAGTTAACGCAACGTTGGGTCTTAATCAATTAGTGAAGTTAATGAAAATAGAAGTCTCAGCTCTGCCTGGGTCCAACATGAGACTTGATTAGGTCTCACATGATTGGTTATCACGATTCTTCGACGAAGAATAGGCCTATAGATGATCAATAGAGTACGAAGGCGTTAGCCCATCTCTCAACATAGTGGGCGCGATCAACTCGCAGCCAAGGGTGTTAGGGTCCTGCACGAGTTGGGTGAGATCAGCCGCGCCCCACACCAAAGCTGGCTGTGACTCACAATCAGTTGCCTCAACCTGATTTTATCTGAAGCCAGAAGCGCATTGCCTGTCCGATTTTGATCGAACTATTTCGGATACATAGAAAGAATTCTCATGTTTCTATAGCGGGTGGCATACTGAAAACTAGAACTTAACAGTTTAATTCTTATCAGTTTTTCAATAGTTCTTTTAAAATCAAAGACCAGCAGTTAAGAATTTCTTCAAAAGTTGTCCAAAAGTTACAACACTCCCATTCATAATCCATCAAATTATTTAGGTTAACATAATGAAACAAGTTCTTTTGATATTATTATTTCAAACAATATTGAAGAGCTTGTTGATAGGCTTCCGGCAAATAAAAAATTAACACATCTTCTTTTAAGATGAAACAATTTTTAAAGAAAGGAATACTTGGCTTATAGTATCATATATTATTATAAAAATAAATAAAAATTCAGAGTTCTATTTCACATTCAGTCATTTCAAAGTTTTATATCACTTAAGTAATTTCAAAAAGGCTATTCCAGAATCACAATTAATTTTACTTCAATTTTATTTCAAGTTTTTGAATTAATCCTTTTACATTGAAATCACTTAAGTTTCAAATTTGTTATCTTGCAAACATGTTTAAACAAATTTTGTAATTTCTATACGTTTCAATTAAATTATGGATTTGAACATTTCATGTGTACTAAGTAAATATTTATTATCAATAAGTGAATATTGTATCGTGAATGTTAGTAAAACACAAAATGATTAAAATAAGCAACAATTTAAAATTTCAATAATTTATGCAAATTTATTGCGTGTTTCATTAATTTTATTTAGCTTATGCAGAATATTTTCTTTATAGATATAAATGGTCTTCCTAATTTGAAAACAATATTTTATGCAAATCTAATACGTGTTTTTTAAATTTCATTTTGTTTATGCAGAACATTTCCTTTGTATGTACAAATGATCTTCCTCATTTAAAAACGATTGATCGAACATGCTGTCGCCTGATCAGCTGACGCAATCAAGGTTTCATTGGATCCTGAACTTCGCACTATTTTAAAGACCTAATTTCTGCGGCACACTCGTGCATACGATTTGATGAACCTCTTGGAACGATTCCGCTGATGTATTTCGTGGAGAAACGAAAGGAAACAGTCGTGCACCGTAAAGAGAAACTACTGCTGCAGGTCACGCTAGCCTGAAATGATTCCCGATCGCGATATATGTTGATGGTATACTGTAATCATTCGTGGCTTAATCCCATAACGAGTGGAAAGTCGATCGGTGGCAGGTACGGTGTATGGATCTTCGAGACATCACCGGTTTCCATTATCGAATGATCGATGGGCTCAGGGCCAATATCAACCACCGAATTTTCACTTGCTCATCGGGGCTTCGAATTCCCATTATTTTCGCATTGTTCCAATCGATTGCTTCCAATGCCGTACGGCAAATTAATATCGCAATAATTGTACTTGCAGTTTGCATGACAAAAGCATTATTTATGGTTCCCTAAATCAATAATCGGGATCAATTGTTCTTCGTGGATGGAATTCAATTAGGAATTTTCGCTGCGACCGAAAGAATTTATCGGTTTCTAGTTATAGCATTTTGATACGAATAACAGTTAAGTGAAAATCTATATTATAGAATGTAGAAAATAGATCGATAAAAACTAAAAGCCTTTTATAACAAACTTGGTTTACGAAAAATATTGAAAGATATGTATAAATTTTATTAAAATTATTTATGGAATTACTTTTCCTATCACGTCGGTGCTGGCAAATATCATGGTTATCATTACAATGTTAATTACTTTCCCCATTAAAATTACAATTTATAAATACAAAATATGAAATTGAATGAAAACGAGATGATGTTATATCAACATTTGTATCAGTAATTGTATCTGCCGGTTATATTGAGAGTACACGTACCATGCGAAATTTGAAGTTACATTTTCTGAAAAATGAGGTCTTCACATGCATCATGGATTTTGCCGCATACTGCATTCAACCCGTTCCAATATTGACCTGTAAAATTAAAACGAACTTCATTTGTATTAAAGCAATTTTGTCAGGAATTATCATCGATATGATATCGTTTGTCGATTTAGTTAAAAAAGTAGGTTGCGCTTAAAAAACATAATCCGTTCGTTTCGTGTCATTGAAGTCTTCGTTATTTGATACACAGGATTCACACAGTTTTGTAGATCACGCTCTGTGCTATTTAAAGACTTGCAATTCGAGACTTCGAATATACGTATATAAAATTCAGCGCTTGCTTCTGCAGAATTACCTCGAAATGAAGTCTCCGCTTAGAAAAGAAAAAGAGGGTAAATTTATGTTCTAAAGAGTTGGATCAGCCCCTGGTTTAATGAAATATAGTTGGATCAAATAAATTTTGTTCATGTTTCATTTAAATTTG